TAGCCCTGAAAGTTATCTGTTCCATACTTTTTTTTTTTTTGAGTGTCTTGCTCTGTCACCAGGCTGGAGTGCAGTGCCGCGCATCTTGGCTCACTGCAATCTCCGCCTTCGCCTCCAAGGAGCTGGGATTACAGGGCCTATTCCACTTCACACAGCTGATTGTGTTTATTGTTTTGTAGTAAAGTCGGGATTTCCACCGTGTTGCCAGGCTGATCTTCAACTGCAGACCTCAGTATTCCTCTGCTTTGGCTTCCCAAAGTGCTGGATAACAGGCGTGAGCCACCCGCCCTGGCGCCCATGACATTTTTGATCTGTTAAAGTTGATAGCGAATGGGTGTCATGTAAAAAAAAAAAAAAAAATTTATTCCATAATGTATGTGTATATTCATATAAAGAGCAAGAATATTCAAATATTAGCTTATTTTTTATACCCTAATTAAGTTTCCTAAGCGTCCTCTAGAGAAACCTGCCATCAAAGACAAAGGCAAGGCATGTTCAGAAGATATTTTATACCTCTGCCTGCCTCCCCCTGCAGCCAACCTGTGATTACTCTAGAAACAAAAACAGATAGAGAAGAGGTAGGAGAGGGCATTCTACCTGTCTTTTGGTCCTTGGCTCAGTATCTGGAAAATTGAGACTCCTATATGTGATAATGACGATTCTGAGCATCAGCATCTGTTCTGTCTAACCTATGAATTTTAGACAGGTAAGAATAGCAAGTAGAGTAATAGAAGCAGTTGTGGGGCTCCTTCCTCCTAAAGAAGGGCTTGAAATGTTTTTCTTTCAGCTGGTGTGGTCTGATGTAAGAATTGTTAGCCAGGACCCTGCACTCATGGCTAGGGTGAAGGTCATTATTGTTTTCTCTTTATCTGATTGTAGGCTCTCCACACCCATCATGGTACTCTGGCCATCTGCCTTATGTTTTGTATGTATATTATAAAAGATCTTTTTTCCCCTTGAGCATTATCTTAGCTCCCAATTTCAACATAACTTTTAACACCCTTCTCTGTTATCATTTTTGCAATTAACAGAGGTATATTTATACCAGATTAGTCCTTCTTGCTTTAAAGAAACAACTTTCCACTTTAGATGTTTCATGCATACAACCACTTATATTTTTACATAGTTTATTTACAGCATTTCTAGAGGCGCAGTCACTGCTAAATGAGTAGAAGAAAACTGTGGGCCTGGTGTGATGGTTCATGCCTGTAATCCCAGTACTTTGGGAGGTAGAGATGGGAGGATCACTTGGGGCCAGGAGTTCAAGATCAGCCTGGGCAACATAGCTAGACCCTGTCTCTACAAAAAATTTAAAAATCAGCCAGACTTGGTGGCATGCACCTGTAGTCCTAGCTACTTGGGAAGCAGAAGCAGGAGGATTACTTAAGCCCAGGAATTCAAGATTACAGTGAGCTATGACAGAATGAGAACCTATCTCAAAAAGTAAAAAATGAAAAAAAATTTAAACAATAACAAAATTGGCCAAGTGTGGTGGCTCATGCCTGTAATCCCAGCACTTTGGGAGGCTGAGGTGGGCAGATCACTTGAGGTCAGGAGTTCGAGACCAGACTGGCCAACATGGTGAAACCCTGTCTCTACTAAAAATACAAAATTAGCCAGACATGGTGGTGCGTGCCTGTAATCCCAGCTACTCAGGAAGCTGAGGAAGGAGAATTGCCTGAACCTGGGAGGTGGAGGTTGCAGTGAGCTGAGATCACGCTACTGCACTCCAGCCTGGGTGACAGAGCAAGATTCCATCTCAAAAACAAATAAATAAATAAAAATAATAAAATAAAGATTGATATGTCCCTCACACTGTTTTAGGCTCTAGTGATGCAACAGTGAACAATCAGAAAAAAACTCTGCTTCTGGAATTTAAATTTTTATAGAAGACAATAAATAACTCAGTAAATACATCAAGTAGTATGTTGGAAAGTGATAAGTGCTTTAGAGAAAATAAAGCAGGAAAGGGAAATGGGGAGTGCTAGGGTGTGGAAATGGGATGAGTCACAGTTTTGTATCTGATAGTAAAGAGAGGTCTTTCTGAAAAAATCTATTTGAGCTCACCTGAGAGAGGTAAAGAAACTATGTGGTTGGCATGGGGCTCACACCTGAAATCCAAGCATTTTGGGAGGCCGAAGCTAGAGGATCGCATTGAGGCCAGGAGTTCCAGACCAGCCTGTGCAACATAGCATGACCTTGTCTCTTCTCTACTAAAAATATAAAAAAATTAACCAGTCATGGTGCATACCTCTAATCCCAGCTACTTGGGAGGCTGAAATGGGAGGATCACTTGAGCCCAGGAGTTTGAGGTTGCAGTGAGCTGTGATCACACCACTGTACTCCAGCTTGGGTGACAGAGCGAGATCCTGTCTCAGGAGAAAAACAAACCTGGAACAATCTGGGGTAGGAACATTTCAGAAAGAAGGAGAAACAAATGCAAAGGCTCATAGACAGAAGTTTGTCATGCATGATAGAGGAACAACAAAGGAGGGTATGGTGGCTGGACTGAAGTGAGCAAGGGAGGAAGTGGTGGTATGGATCTAGACAGATCCATGGTATGGATCATCAATGGTATGAGAGGTTTGGAGGACCTTGCAGGCCATCTTAAGGACCTTGGCGTTTACTTGGAGTATGATGAAAAGCCATTGCTCTGTTTCAGCTGTTAGCAATATTACTCTAGCTGCTATGTTGAGACTAGACTGTAGTGGGTTAACGATGGAGGCAGAGACACCATAAAGAGGCTGTTGCAGTAATCTAGGTGAGAGGTGTTGGTGGCTTAGACCAGGACTGTAGCTGTGGAGATACCAGATGTATGCTGAAGGCAAAGCTAACAGGATATTTTGACAGATTGGCTGTGGATGTGAAGAAAAGAGAGGGCATCAAGGATAACGTCAAGGTTTTTGGCCTGAGCACCTGGAAGGATATGTATGTATACTCATAGGGAAGACATTGGAGAAGTAAATTTGGGGGGAAGATAAGGAGTTCAGTTTTGGTCATGTTCAATTTGACATTCATTAGATATCCAAGGGGAAATGTCAAATTAGTAATTGTATATATGTTTTCTGGAGTTCAGGAAAAAGGTTAAGATTGGAAAATTTTAATTTGAGCGCTTTCAACATATAAATTATATTTTCAGCCATGAAGGAGATCAAAGGAATGAGTTTAGATAGAGAAGACGACCAAGGACTTAGCCTGCACTCAATAATAATTGGTTAGGTTAAGAGAACAAGCCAGCAAAGAAACTGAGAAGGCACAGAGTTCAGGAGAACAGTTGATGTCCTGGAAATCAAATGAAGAACATATTTTAAGAGAAAAGGGGCTGGCCATGATGGCTCATGCCTCTAATCCCAACACTTTGGGAGGCTGAGGTGGAAAGATTGCTTGAGCCTAGAAGTTCAAGACTAGCCTGGGCAACATGGTGAAATCCAGCTCTATCAAAAATACACAAAAATTAGCTAGACATCGTGGTGCATACCTGTAGTCCCAGCTACTTGGGAGGCTGAGGTGGGAGGATCACTTGACCCCCGGGAGGTGGGAGTTGCCAGTGAACTGAGAGTATACCACTGCACTCTAGCCTTGGGTGACCAACAGGAGCCGACCCTGTCTCAAAAAAAAAAAACAAAAAAAGGAACGGGCCAGGTGCAGTGGTTCAATCACCCTGTAATAAAAACACTTTTGGAAAGGCTGAGGGTGACGGGATCATTTGAGACCAGCCTGGGCAGCACAGTGATGATCCCAATCTCTATGAAAAATGTTAAAATTTAAATCCAGGCTGATGGTCATGCCTGTAGTCCAGCTACTTGGGAGGGCTCTGGTGGTGGAGTATCACTTGAGCCCAGGAGGTGAGACTTGAGTGAGCCATGAATCGTACAACTGCATCCCTAGCCTCTGGGCCGCAGAGTGAGACAACCTATCTCAAAAAAAAAAAAAGCGGGGGAAAGAAGGAAGTCAGCTTGGGACAATCTTCTGATCAGACTTGGTCAATATTGCTGATAGATGAAGTAGACAGATAGTAATTCGCGCATTTAACCCATATCATGTGGCAGTTATTGGTGACCTTACTGAACAATTTCAGTGAAGTACGGAGTATAGAAGCCTAATTGGAGTGGATTTGAAGAGACCAGGGTCTCTAGACATTGAAGCATGGTCGCTGAAACATCAACAGAGATACTCAGGTATGTTGTGCTCCATGATAAAAAACATTAATCTCTATGAAGTGATCTTATCAGAGAAAGAAGAGGAAAAAAATATAAAAGGAAAAATTTTTTTTTTTTTTTTTTTTTTTTGAGACTGAGTCTAGCTCTGTCGCCCAGGCTGGAGTTCGATGGCGTGATCTCGGCTCACTGCAACCTCTGCCTCCCGGGTTCAAGCAATTCTTCTGCCTCAGCTTCCTGAGTAGCTGGGATTACAGACGCGCGCCACCATGCCCAGCTAGTTTTTGTGTTTTTAGTAGAGATGGGGTTTCACTGTGTTGGTCAGGCTGGTCTTGAACTCCTGACCTCATGATCCGCCCGCCTCAGCCTCCCAAAGAGCTGAGATTACAAGCGTGAGCCACCATGCCCGGCTGGAAATTTTGTAATCATGAGGATAATAACCTGTAGATCCAACTAACTCACAGAAACATGTATCTATGAAACTGTACTAAAGGTATACAATTAACACATTCCAAACCATGAGAGCCTCTATAAGACAAATGAACAAATGTCTTTAACAAATAAATTCTAAGGAGCAAAAATAGAGATGTGCCCATCAGTTAAGTATTTTTCAGCTGAACAGTAGATAAATAAAATGTGCGGTAAGAAGTGGGCCATACTTGCCTGTAAATCCCAACACTTGGGGAGCCTGAGGCGAGAGGATTGTTTGAGGCCAGGAGTTGGAGACCAGCCTGGGCAATATAGCAAGACCCTGTCTTTACAAAAATAAAAATAAATTAGCTGGGCATGGTGGCACATACCTGTAGTTCTGTGTACTTGGGAGGCTGAGGCAGGAGGATCACTGAGCCTGGAGTTTGAGGTTGCAGTGAGCTGTGATTGTGCCACTTTACTTCATCCTGGGCTACAGAGCGAGACCCTGTCTCCAAAATAAATGAAAGGAATGAAGTACAGATAAATGCTACAACAAGGATAATCTTGAAAACATGCTAAGTGAAAGAATTTAGTCGTGAAAGATCACATTGTATGAATAAGCAAATCTATAGAGACAAATTTGTGGTTGTCTAGGATGAAGGCTGGGGGCAAGTAGAATGGGGGGTGATTGCTAAAGGGTATGCATTTCTTTTTAGGGATGGTGAAAATGTTCTGAAGTTGATTACAGTGGTGGTTACACAACTCCAAATGTATTAAAAACCATTGAACTATACTTTTTAAATGTGTGAATTATATGGTATAGTTAAAGAATATAGATTAAAAGGGACTTGAGACATTTTAACAAATGCAATGTGTGGACTTTATTAGGATCCTGATTCAAACTGAAAACAAAAAACATGACTTGAGACTATAGATATTTTCTGATGTTAAGGAAATAGTGATTATTTTAGTGTGATAATAGGATTGTGGGGTTTTTAGGTTCTTTCAGGCTTTCATTAATGCTAACGATTAGTGAAAAAGATTTTAAGAAAATTCATCCGCTCTAAAATACATGTATTGGTTTTAAACTAAATTCTTACGCGATTTTGCTTTTCAGTACAAATACAGAGACCTAACTGTACGTGAAACTGTCAATGTTATTACTCTATACAAAGATCTCAAACCTGTTTTGGATTCATATGGTGAGTTTATGCAATAAAAATCACAATTTCTATACTTTGAGTTTACTCTCTTTGTTAATGATTGTAATTTTTTCCATTTTCCTTTGAGGTTTGTGGATTTTTCAATTGTAGGACTGTACCACCACCTAATAAAACTGTTGGAAGGTAGCAAATTAGAAGATCTAATAAAAACATTTTATATTTATTTAGTTTTAGTTTTTTATGTTAAAAAAAAAAATACTCTAGCTGGACGTGGTGGCTCATTTCTGTAATCCCAGCACTTTGGGAGGCTGAGATGGGTTGGACCACTGAGCCCAGGAGGTTGAGACCAGCTTGGGCAATATGGTGAAACCTTGTCTCAACAAAAAAATACATAAAGTTGGCCTGGCACTCCTGTATTCCCAGCTAGCCAGGAGGCTGAGGTGGGAGGATTGCTTGAGCCCAGGAGGCAGCGGTTGCATTGAGCTGAGATCGGGCCACTGCACTCCAGCCTGGGCAACAGAGCAAGACCCTGTCTCAAAAAAAAAAACAACAACTACTAACATAGAACTATGCAAATTTAAACCTAGGAGGGCATGTTAAAGATAGTTTAGTCCATTTCCCAAAGTTTTGTCTCTAGACCCTTAGTTGTGCTGGGGACAGGGGTAGAGACACAATTCTATAGTTAAGCTTGAGCAACTTATGGATTAAACAAAATTGAGTTTTATTGCATGAAGATTTCTCAGAGCCTTTAATATGCTAATGTGTTGTGTATCACTGAGATGAGCAAGAATATATTGTATAATACATCCTAAAGTTATTTAATTGCTGAACCTCCCTGTCCCCATAGTGTCTCTTGATATTTTCAGGAACACATTTTGCAAAACTATACTCTGGACTGTCCCTTTCATTTTATAGTTGAGGAAAATATTGTTTAATGTGGTCTTTAATTCTATAGAGTAGGTAAGCATGTCAGTTTGTCTCTACTTTCTATTGAGACAAAATAAAGTTGTAAGACTTGACAATGCTTGGAGTTTCCCTTTTTTTAAAATAGTCTTTTCTGTCCCTGCCAAATCCTAACATAATCTCTTCTACCATGTCTCCTTGAAAATACTTAATATGCCAGGGCCGAGGGAAAACCCATGCTGCTGCTTGTCCACTGTAAGACCCTTAACTCTGAAGGCAAGGAACTGAATTTTGTAGCTGAGACTTTCTAAATTTCACTTGCTTCCAAGGCTTTGAAAACATTAGGAAACTGGTGAAGAGAGGTGGGAAGGAACAGAGGGGCAATCAGTTCTGCATTTCCTGAAACAATAAAGACATGAACCCAAAGTCCTCTTCCAAACCTAGGTCACAATTCCTTCTCATCTCAGCCTACCTTATTTCTGTCCACATGACAGTTTTGATCAAAACTGACAAAGACTCCCTTATCAAATCTTGTGTAGTTTCATATGGCTGGACCAAGTGTAAGTCATTGTTACCAAATTCTTTTAGAATAAACAAAGCCCCACATTTATATAAGGTGGTTTTCTTTTTTAAAATGCACAAAATCAGAATACATTGCAGTGTAGCTTACATTCGTCAACAGTAAGTAAAAGAACAAAGGTCAACAATGTACGGTCATGCATTTTGTAGTGATAGAGATATGGTCTGAGAAATGCATTATTAGGCGATTTCATCATTGAATGTACTTAGACAAACCTAGATGGTATATCCTACTACACACCTAGGTTATATGGCATGCCTGTTGCTCCTAGGCTACAACCTATACCAGATGTTACTGTACTGCATACCATAGGCAGTTGTAACACAATGGTATTTTTGTATCTAACTATAGAAAAGTTACATTAAAAATACAGTATAGTAATCTTATGGGACCAATGTCTTATGTGCAGTCCATTGTTGACCCAAACATTACACAGTAGATGGCTATAGTTCTATGTTTTTGTACTGCACATTACAACCTTTCCCCTATGTGTATAGTGTTAATTCCAAATCATTGTTAGAAATAATAGCTGTCCAATACAAACTATGTGCTGTATTAAGTATAGACATAAATTATAGATAGAAAAATATGTGGGGTATGAGAAATACAGATTAAAAGAAATTGTCTACATTTGGCTATGAACTTTTCTTTTTTTCATTTTAATACTGGCTAAGGAGGCTGTGGCCAGGAGATCACTTGAGTCCAGGAGTTCAAGTCCAGCCTGGACAACTTAGTGAGACCCCATTTCTAAAAAATAGGAAAAAAAGCTGGGCATCATAGTGCACGCCTATAGTCCCAGCTACTCAGAAGGCTGAGGTGGGAGGATTGCTTGAGCCTAGAGTTTGAGGATAGCCTGCACAACATAGCAAGACCCTGTCTCCAAAAAACAATAATAAATAACTGTGAGTGACAGTCTGGATAAATGTCTAGAGATCTCTAAAGTATAATGACATTAGGTGAACATTTAGTATGGTATTGTTTGATAGTGTTTTTTGTTTGTTTGTTTGTTTGTTTTGCAGTGGAGTTTTGCTCTTGTTGCCCAGGCTGGAATGCAGTGGTACAATCTTGGCTCACTGCAACCTCTGCCTCCCGGGTTCAAGCATTCTCCTGCCTCAGCCTCCCGAGTAGCTGGGATTACAGGCATGTGCCACCACGCCTGGCTAATTTTGTATTTTTAGTGGGGATGGGGTTTCTCCATGTTGGTTAGGCTGGTCTCAAACTCCCAATCTCAGGTGATCTGCCTGCCTTGGCCTTCCAAAGTGCTGGGATTACAGGCGCAAGCCACTGCGCCTGGCCGATAGTGATATTTAAATAGGTTTAAAAGTGAGTCACACCTGTAATCCCAGCACTTTGGGAGGCCAAGGCGGATGGATCATGAGGTCAGGAGTTCGAGACCAACCTGGCCAGCATGGTGAAGCACTGTCTCTACTAAAGATACAAAAAATTAGCCAGGTGTGGTGGCGCGCGCCTGTAATCCCAACTACTCAGGAGGCTGAGGCAGGAGAATCGCTTGAACCCGGGAGGCAGAGGTTTCAGTGAGCCAAGATCGCACCATTGTACTCCAGCCTGGGCGACAGGGCGAGACTCCATCTGAAAAAAAACAAAAAAGAGCTGATCAATGACATTGAGTGAATCAACAAAGAATTGTTAGTTATTGGACAGGATGGATGATACATTGACAGGTCAGCCCCTTTCAAGGATAAAAATGAATTTTAACCAGTCTTTCTGAAAGAATAACCTATGGGAGTATCTAAAAAAAATGCTCATGATTAAATCATTGTTCTTTCCTTTCAGTTTTTAATGATGGCAGTTCCAGGGAACTAATGAACCTCACTGGAACAATTCCTGTGCCTTATAGAGGTAAATGTCTTATGTTATTAGGTTTCCAGCTAGATGTATTTTGAATACATAATAAATATGTTGCCAAAGAGTTATAAGTAAATTAAACCTACTTTCTCATGGCTTTCATGCTGATAGAGATTTTAACTTCTATTCAAATTGAAGTTCATTTGGCAGCAACACCTAACATTTTCAACTTTCTTAAAACTTCCTTACCAAGATGTATGAACAAATAAGTGCCTAAGTTCACCAGAGGAGTTTAATGTTTCACAGAATCAAAGAATTTTAGAACTAGAAAGGGATCTTACTTGCCTCCTGGTTCAGCCTCCTACACCATTCAAACTTTCCTGACAGTGGGAAGCTTAAGATACAGTCTTCAAAGTCAGGACAGAGTTATGTTTGAGTTCTTGCTCTATAATCTTAGCAGTTCTGTTACATGTTATAGATGGACATCTTTGACATTTAGATAATAGTACCTAACTTGGGGAAATGAGCATTTATTTGTTAACGAATGTGAAGAACTTGGCACAGAGCCTTGAATGTAATAAGGAGACAGTTAAAAGTAGCTGTTATTTACGGTTGTGATGTTGGCGCTAATACTAATGGTAGATAATTGATCTCTGTTAGCCTGTCTTTCACCCTCTGCTGAAATACTGAGTGGTGAGGAAGCATTTAGCTTCATGCGAGACCATTTTGTTTTTGGACAGCTCTGTTTGTTAATTATTCCTGGTAACTAGCTAAGACCTATGTCCTTTACCCAGTGATTTCACATAGTACCTGCTATGCATAAGGCAATAAGGAGAGGAGCTATGGATACAAAGATGAATAAAGGATGTACCTCTTCTACAAGAACTCCACTAATAGGGGAAACAAAGGGAACAGATAGATATTTACACTCTTCTGTAACTGCTATAGAATTATAAAATGAAAAAGTGCTGTGAGATTACAGAGGAGAAGAAGGCCACATGGGAAGATCACAGTTTAAGTGACATTTGAGCCACTATTAAATAATAAGTCAATCATTCATAACAAGCAGAGGGAAAAAACAGTTAATTGAGCATCAGCGTTGTATAAAGCGAGTGTAAATTTAGGGAAGACTGAGTAAAATTTAACATTACTGACTTTGCTATTCCCCTCAGGAAATAAATTCTGCTGGGGGAAATAGGTATGGGGGGGGTGCGGATGTATGCATAAATTGTATCTAAACTAAACCTGTATTCCTTTAACCATTCTTCAATTTAAAAATGATAAAAATAGAGTAATTGAAGTTTCTATTTCTTTTTCAGGTAATACATATAATATTCCAATATGCCTATGGCTACTGGACACATACCCATATAATCCCCCTATCTGTTTTGTTAAGCCTACTAGTTCAATGACTATTAAAACAGGAAAGCATGTTGATGCAAATGGGAAGATATATCTTCCTTATCTACATGAATGGAAACACGTAAGTATTAATAGTGTTCTGTGAATTAGTTATGTTTTATATATTTTGCTCACTAGTATCTGCTTTCTTTTAGCACTCAAAGAGGATTCCAAGTAGGGTAGATAAGTTCAAATAATGGACTAATCACTGAGTTGAGGGTAAATTAGAAAAGGCTCACTAAAAGAAATGGGTTTGTGTAGAGCTTTGTAATTTTCAGAATACTTATATTCACTATTTTATTTGCTTGAGTTGAACCGTTTAAAATAGGCAGGATTCACATAGTAGGAAGTACATTTTAAAAAATAGTATGCTGGTGGGGTAGTTATGGAATTCAGATCTCATTACTCAAAGCATTTCTGTCAAGAATAATAGTAGGAAACTTCTGTTCCTGTGTCTGGTAATGTAACTGTAACAGATTAATGTTCCTATGAAAAGTAACTAGAAAAGCAAGAGAAAATACAAACAACACCTGTTGAAAGGTTTTGGAAAGCTGTTTAGGCAATCAAGACATGGATGGCCAAGATTCTGTAGAGAAAAGGCACTTCTGCCAGTAACTTTTCCTCCAGGGTGGTACCTACTGATTTTTTTTTTTTTTTTTTTTTTTCCTCGAGACAGAGTTTCACACTCTGTCACCCAGGCTGGAGGACAGTGGCACAATCTCAGCTCACTGTAACCTCCACCTCCCAAGTTCAAGCGATTCTCCTGCTTCAGCCTCCCTAGTAGCTGAGATTACAGGCGCCTGCCCACCATGCCTGGCTAAGTTTTGTATTTTAGTAGAGATGGGGTTTCACCATGTTGGTGAGGCTGTTCTCGAACTCCTGACCTCAAGTGATCCACCCACCTCGGCCTCCTAAAGTGCTGGGATTACAGGCATAAACCACCATGCCCAGCCTACTTACTGATTCTTGATGCAGGATGAACGGCTGAGAATCTGGGCAAAGGACCTTAACTAAGAGGCAGAGAAACCTGCAGAGTCTCTAGCAGTCTCAGAGGGCTGAAAAGACAAAAGTTGCTGTTCTGTCTATCAAAGTAACTAGGACTTTTAGATCTAAGATTTGGGAGAAAAGGAAGCCGTAAAGAAGTGAGTAGCTCTGGGGATGGTGGCTTATGGCTGTGATCCCAGGACTTTGGAAAGCTGAATCAGGAGAATTGCTTGAGCTCAGGAGTTTGAGACCACCCTGGGCAACATAGTGAGAACCCCACCTCTATTAAAAAAATTTTAAAAACTAGGCATGGTCATGTGTGCCTGTGACCACACCTACTCAGGAGGCTGAGGTGAAAGGATCACTTGAGCCTTGGAATTCGAGGCTGCAGTGAGCCATGATTGCATCACTGTACTCTAGCCTGGACAACAGAGCAAAAGAAAAGATGAGATACTCTGAATTTCCCACCTTAAGAGATAGGTTGAATTCCTGAGCTTCAAAGATGAGATGCTAAAAAAAACTAAGCAGAAAGCCTCTGAAAAATCAGCCAAGTTTTCAGCAGTCTTAGGTTAAGGAGGCAATTGGAGTTCAGTACCTTATCAAAAAGGGGAATAAGTAAACATCCTAGGCTGTTAGTTGGCACCACTGGAGGAACACATCTTAGGAGGGAGAACTTAGAGGTAGAATGAGCCTTACAAAAATCTGTCCTTGAGGCTGGGTGGGGTGGCTCACACCTGTAATCTCGGCACTTTGGGAAGCCAAGGTGGGAGGATCACTTGAGGCCGGAAATTTGAGACAAGCCTGGCCAACATGGTGAAACCCCATCTCTACTAAAAATACAAAAATTAGCCAGGCGTGGTGTGGTGCATGCCTTTATTCCCAGCTACTCGGGAGACTGAGGCAGGAGAATCACTTGAACCTGGGAGGCGGAGGTTGCAGTGAGCCGAGATCGCACCACTGCACTCCAGCCTGGGTGGCAGAGTGAGTGAGACTCCGTCTCAAAAAAAAAAAATCTGTCCTTGAGTCAGCTCAGTCCCTGATCCTGACTGTGTATCTGCCTGCCACAGGATAGGGTGAACCCTTGCTGGAAGAAGATAATATATAGACCCTCTATAATTTTTCACAATATCTAGTATACAATTTATATTTATCAAGTACACCAAGAAAGAGAACCAAGAGGAAAAAAAGACAATAGAAACAGGACATCTTTCCACTCCACTGCTACAAACACACGAGTAACTTAGTTATCAGACACAGACTTAAAAATGGTTGTGATCAGTGTGTTCAAGAAAATAGAGGACAAAATGGTAAATTTTATTAAAGAGAAAGTGGAAATCTTAAAAATGAAAAATAGAATAATAGAGATTAAGAACTCAGTAGATGGGTTTAGTAGCAGATTGGACTCAGTAGAGTAGAGACTGCCTCAGCCTCCTGAGTAGCTGGGATTACAGGCCCCCACCACCACACCTGGCTAATTTTTGTATTTTTAGTAGAGACAGGGCTAAAACCACCTTGGCCAGTCTGGTCTCGAACTCTTGACTTCAGGTGATCCGCTCGCCTCAGCCTCCCAAAGTGCTGGGATTACAGGTGTGCACCATTATGCCTAGCCTCAGTTTGAATTCTTAACCTGTTGCTTTATAATTGGCCTGGAAGTAGATATTAACATAGATATTAATTTTTTTCTTCAAAGAATTTAGTGTAAAAGGAATGGTGTGATAATTAAAACTTACCTTGACAAAACTGTAAGAATGTGTGAAGAATTGATTCATACTACAACATAAACGAACTCTGAAAACATTATGCCAAGTGAAAGAAGCCAAGCACAAAAGGCCATATATTGTATGATTTCATTTATATGAAACATTCAGGAAAGCAAATCCATAGAGACGGAAAGTAGATTAGTGGTTGCTAAAGGGCTGTGGGAAAAGGGAAATGGGAAGTGACTACTAATGAGTACAGGGTTTGTTTTTTGGGATAATGAAAATATTCTGGAATTAGATGGTGGTAATGGTTGCATAGTGTTGTGAAATAGTAAAAGCCACTGAAATGTATACTTTAAAAGAAAGTTTTTGGAATGTGAATTATCACCTACATGCATGAGGCTTACATGAGGCTATGATTTAGTTAAGGAATTTTGTTGGGCCGAAAAATTGAGAAAGTGTGTAGTCTCAGGGGCCATCCTCACACACATCAGCCACAGTATCTGTGAGTGCTGCACAGATATTGTGCTTGTAACACCCCGAGTCTCAGTATATAAATTTACAGGCAACACAAGAAAAATATTGGAACAGCAGAGATCAACAAGTTTTCACAGAAAGCTTTAAGAAATGTTATTCATTGTCATCTTCCATAAATTAGGTCAAAATTGGACAAATGAGGTGAGTTTGATTCTTTGGAAAAGGTGAAAACTGCCCCTGAAGTCTTCTGTCAGGAGTATTAAAGGAAGTGCCAGTCCTAATCCTGTAATCCCAACTACTTGGGAAACTGAGGCAGGAAGATTGTTGAGTTCAAGTCTAAGCTGGGCAACATGGTAAGACCTTGTGTGGGGGGAAGGGGGATGTAAAAAGTAGCTTCTGTGAAGATGGTTAGCCTATCAAGGTGATTGAGTAATTCTTCAGAACTCAGTGAACTTACGAATGAAGTATGTGAGATTAGATACACACAAAATAGATTAAGAAGTAAAAGAAGAATCATCAAGCCATTTTGAGCAACTTTGACTAGCACAGTTTAATTAGTGGTTGGTAGATATTTCTTTTGTTGTTTTGTTGTTGTTGTTGTTGGGTTTTGTTTTTGTTTTTTTGAAACAGGGTCTCACTCTAACCCAGGCTGGAGTGCAGTGGCACAATCATGGCTCACTGCAGCCTCAACTTTCCTGGATCAGGTGATTCTCCCACTGCAGCCTCCTGAGTAGTTAGGACTACAGGCGCATGCCACCACATACAGTTTTTTATTTTTTTGTAGAGACCACGCTGGTCTCAAACTCCTGAGCTCAAGCTGGATTCCAAAATGGAAAGGAAAGTGCTGAAATAGAGCTAGAATTTTTAAAATTATGCATGCTGCGAAATAGCCTTATTTGATCCTCCTGCCTTGGCCTCCCAAAGTGCTGGGATTACGGGTGTAAGCCACCGCCACTGACCAGCGGTCAATAGGTATTTGAGAGAAAATCTTAATAACTCTTACGAAAAAATAGGCAGTCTCTTTGTCATTGTTGTTAGAAGGAAAGATCTTTTAACACCTTTAACAATTCACCCCTTTTGTACTACAGTCTAGCAAGTTCTAAGCTAGAATCTACGTATAAGTTTTGCTTTTTTTTTTCGGTTTTTTTTTTTTTTTGGAGACAGTGTCTTGCTATGTCGCCCAGGCTGGAGGGCAGTGGGCAGTGGTGCAATCTCAGCTCACTGCAACCTCTGCCTCTGGGGTTTAAGCGATTCTCTTGCTTCAGCTTCCTGAGTAACTGGGACCACAGGCACACACCACCACCCCCGTCTAATTTTTGTGTTTTTAGTAGAGATGGGATTTTGCCATGTTGGCCCAGCTGGTCTCAAACTCCTGGCCTCAAGCAGTTCACCCACCTTGGCTTCCCAAAGCGCTGGGATTACAGGTGTGAACCACCTCACTTGGCTATAATCTACCTGTAATTTCAGAGTTCATAATATCTTTAATAAAAATTAATTTTAAGAACACGTATTTCCAAGATATCATTGATGTCTTTTAATGACCTTAAATAATATTGTGACTGTTGCTCATATTCATCCCTAAATTTGTATCAGTATACTTATAATAAATTGTGCAGTGGCAATAAAATAAATTTTTGTTCTGTGGAGTCAAATGAAGAACAAAACTATGAATTTTGCAATATGCTGCTTTAACTAGTGCTATTTTTATATACTTGAAGCAAGAACCTTGCTGCACATCATGTTTAAAACCACCTAACTCTATTAAAATAAATTAATTAAATGAAATTCTTTCCTACAAAGAAAATTGTCAAGCTGAGTTGAAAACCAATGAGAAATGGCCAACCTTTTTCTTTTTACTGAAAAGCGACTCTGTAGCTGACTTGAATTTTTTTTCATTTTTTAGCCACAGTCAGACTTGTTGGGGCTTATTCAGGTCATGATTGTGGTATTTGGAGATGAACCTCCAGTCTTCTCTCGTCCTATTTCGGCATCCTATCCACCATACCAGGCAACGGGGCCACCAAATAGTAAGTAGAATTGAGATTTTACTTTAAAACTCACATAAACAAAAGAGAACAGAAACCTTTGTTAAAAAAAAAAAAAAAAAAGAAAAATTAATGACCTCTTTGCTTTTTAGCTTACCAAGCTAGTGGATTTTTTGGAAGTATTCTGAGGCCCCACATCTGCATGTACAGATTCCCACCAAAGACTGGCATTTGGGCTTCCATTTGTAGGTAGAAATCTAAGAATGGTTGTGCTGGATTCCAAAATGGAGGAGAAAGTGTAGAATAGAGCTAGAATTTTTAAAATTATGCATGCTGCAGAATAGCCTTATTTGATCAGCTTGGAAGCACATATAACTTGAAAGGTAGTCTGACCTCTCCTTTCTGTTTGCAACTACAAAATCAGAGTTGTAGATAAGGATTAAAGTCAACTGAAGCATTCACATTTAGCTATTCTGGGTATACACAATTGGACATCTAGCTCTTAGCTTTCTTCTCTTTCGTACAGCCAATTCATGATTTTACCTCGTGTGGAGTGGTGGGAGCATGGAGACAGTATCGCTTCTCCCCTAATTGGAATATATTATCTCTGTTATCTTGAATAATTCTTACTGATACTTAAAAATCACTCTGAATAATTGTGAATTGGTTGTACTTATTTTGAAATTGCTAAATCTGTATTGATTTCATTGTGTTTTGAGCTGTGACTTCTTTTTTTTCTTTTTTTGGTAAATTTTCTTTAAGGTTATAATTAACCGAACTTGTTTATCTTACAAGACAAATTATATGTGCTTTCATTTTTCTTCTGCTGAAAATTATACTTTTTCCTTTTTAATCCATTCTTTCCTGAGGAACATCTTGGTTTATAAGCCGAATGGGAATTTAACAGAAATAATTTTTTAACCCATTTCTCTTTCCTTCCCTACCTTCCCAGAATAAGCTTGATTTTAGGATTACTATTTCTTTTAGTAAAGATACTGGTAATTCTTGTGGATCAGAAATTTGTTTTTATCTCATTAAATTCTGTTGACTCTAGTGCCCGAGAGTAGAGTATCTTGCTTAAATTTGAAATACTAAATATTTGGCTGGGTGTGGTAGCTCATGACTGTAGCCCCAGCACTTTGGGAGGCCGAGGTGCGGGGTGGATCACCTGAGGTCAGGAGTTCAAGACCAGCTTGGCCAACATGACGAAACCTTGTCTCTACTAAAAATACAAAAATTAGTATGTGGTGGTGCATGCCTGTAGTCCCAGCTACTCGGGAGGCTGAGGCAGACTTTGTGGTGAGCTGACATTGCATTACTGCACTCCAGCCTGGGTGACAGAGCAAGACTTCATATCAAAAAAAAAAAAAAGATACCAAATATTTCCTAGTCTTGTTACCTTTGTTTATTTGCTCAGATAATATAGCGAGTGACCGCTATGACAAAAGTAACCTTTTCAGAAACTCAGGTAGTCTCTTAAGCAACTTTTTTTTTTTTTTTTTTTTTGAGACGGAGTCTTGCTCTGTCACCCAGGCTGGAGTGCAGTGGTATGATCTGGGCTGACTGCAACCTCCACCTCCTGGGTTCAAGTGATTCTTGAGCCTTAGCCTCCTGAGTAGCTGGGATTACAGGCCCCCACCACCATGCCCGGCTAATTTTTGTATTTTTAGTAGAGTCAGGGTTTTGCCATTTTGGCCAGGCTGGTCTCGAACTCCTGACCTCAGGTAATCCGCCTCAGCCTCCCAAAGTGCTGGGATTACAGGCGTGAGCCACTGTGGCCGGCCTGCAACATTTTTTCCCCCTAATTTCTTTGAGTTTTACATTTACGTTGGAAGTGCAGTATTCAAGAAAGAGACCATACTATTGTCACTGTTGCAATTCAGTTTTGTACTCAGTCACTGTAAGTCACATTAAACACTCTAGAGCTGATTCTTTATTCTTTTTTTTGTCAGTTAAGGTCAAGATTAACTTCTCTTTTTCTTCCTCTATGTTGATTAGCCTCTTGGCACCACTGATCTTAGTTCTTTGGCATTCATGTTCTCTTTAAAGAATATATAAAGTATTCTTTAAGCTTGCTGGATTTTAACCTTTTATCCCTAGTATTTCTGAGCTTTTGTTTTGTTTCTTTATTTTGTGATAGGGTTTCACTCTGTCACCTAGACTAGTTTTTAACAGTCTGGATAATGTAAGTTTTGTATAGGACTTCTCATAGTAATTTGAAGTCTCTTAAAGTCTTCAAACAAGCCAACAAAATCAGCTGTACTAAAACTGGTCAACAGTTACAAAAGAAATATCAAAAGATTTATTAGATATAATAAAGAAGTTACTCTCTAAGAAGTTAACTTTGGACCAAAGGAGGCCAGAATTACCTTCCTCTAAATTTGAAATTAAACCTGCTCTTATCTCAGGTTATAGACTTCTTGAGAACTTTAAAAGCTGACCAGGTTGACCTGTTTGCCAGTTCTTTTGGTTGGGGTTGTCGTAAGTATTGTAATTCATGTTTAATGATTTGAGGATTATGAAGGGGTAAGGTATTTGTTTTGTTTTGGTGCTGAGAATTGGATTTTTTAACTGTGTGAAATTTTGCTGTGTATTGACAGTGTGATGTATATCTTATTCGGTAGCCTACATATTCAGGCCTTGTATATTATTTTTACAATGTGAAAAAATTGTTTTTAGCTTCCTACATGCCAGGCATGCCAGGTGGAATCTCTCCATACCCATCCGGATACCCTCCCAATCCCAGGTAATGAAAAGTTATCTTTTGAATAATTGTATTACAAATTCTTCTATTAGATCTAGAATCAAAATAATTTGCTAATTAGGGCATTAAACTAAATTTAGTTGCAATTTAGTGGAAGATAAAATTTGGTTTATTGCTGGAATTTATTTATTTATTTATTTATTTTGAGACGGAATCTTTCTCTGTTGCCTGGGCTGGAGTACAGTGGTGCAGTCTCAGCTCCCGGGTTCAAGTGATTCTCCTGCCTCAGCCTCCCTAGCAGTTGGGACTACAGGCATGCGCCACCACGCCTGGCTAATTTTTGTATTTTTAGTAGAGACAGGATTTCACCATGTTGACCAGGCTGGTCTCGAACTCCTGACCTTGTGATCCGCCTGCCTCAGCCTCCTGAAGTGCTGGGATTACAGGTGTGAGCTGCCGCGCCTAGCCTATGTCTTTTTTTTTTTTTTTTTTTTTTTTTTAAAGAGGTATTATAAAATATTTTTCCCCTTGGCTGAATTCATTGTAACTAACATTCCATTAATATTTCAGCGTATCTATACTAGATATACAAATTTCTTAAAAGGGAAGAACAAGGACTTCAAGGTCAAAAACCAACTGAGATCAGTCGTCGATTACTCACCCCATTTCTTTCCTCGTAAAATAAAAATACAGCCAGGAAGCTGCTTTCTCTTTAGATTGAAAGAAACTCCTTTTCAAACTATACACACACACCTTCAAATTCTAGCAATAAGGCCGGGTGTGTGTAGCTCACAAGCTGTAATCCAGCACTTTGGAGGCCAATGCAGGCAGATCACCTGAGGTCCTGAGGTCAGGAGTTCAAGACCAGCCTGGCCAACACAGTGAAACCATCTACTAAAAATAAAAAATTAGCTAGGGCATGGTGGCACATGCCTGTAATCCCAGCTCTTTGGGAGGCTGAGGTAGGAGAATTGCTTGAACCAGAGGGGAGGTGAGGTTGCAGTGAGCCAAGATTGCGCCATTACCCCTCCACCTGGGCACAGAGCAAGGACTCTGTCTCAAACAAACCGCACAACCTATCTTTTTCTATACATTGCAGGAATCAATAGTTCAGATAATGGGGTCAAACTTTCGTGCGTAAATTCATAGACCGTGTACTGTCCAACCTTTATTATCCATTTAGTAATAACATAGGTAACTAAATTTTATTCATAGACTACCTGTACTATCAACCTTTATTATCCATTTAGTAATAACATAGGTAACTAAATTAAATTAACAAGAAAGTCAGCTGAATAACACACTAGAAAGTCAATGATAATTACTACACCAGTTTTAAATGTATACTTGTTTCAGTGGTAATCTAGGATTACTCTCCAAAGGTGGTCTTTGGGCTAACTTAAAATTCCACTCAGCACTTGGGGAGGCTGAGGTAGGAAGATCGCTTAAGCCCAGAGTTAGAGACCGGAGCCTGGGCAACAGTGAGGAGCTCTCTCTACAAAAAAAATTAAGATTAGCCATGCACGGTGGTGTGTGTTGTCCCAGCACTTTGGTGTGTGTGGTGGAGGATCATCTTGGAAGCTACTAGATCGAGGGATGCAGTGGAGCCGATAATTGCACCACTGTTTATGTTGTTGCAAACAGAGTGTTGTATCCTGTGTCTCAAAAAAAAAAAAAAAAGATTGGCATATACTGATGCCAAGATGAGACTTCCGGCTGCTCTAACAATTAGCAAGGAAATTTCAGTCTTCTAACTCTTCTTAGTTTCATATAACCCAGTCATAATCCTTATGGATAAATGCAGCCAGATTTCTGAACACATCATAGGTAAATATATATATGTACATATATAATATCTAGGATTTTGAAAGTTAATTTAGCAAACATTTCATTTCTGGGTTGTCTTAATTTCACAACTTTTTGGAAGGTAATAAGCGTTCTGTCACTTTGGATAGGTAAGCAGAGATTAGAAGAACATTTGTCAGGGACAAGAGAGAAAGATTCCTTTGGTAGTAATATATAAGCAGGTTATACATTTTAGATTTCTTGAGGCCCTAAAATTTCTGATTAAGTTCTAGAAATGGAATCCTACCTGAAGCCTTGAAATTACAAGTCTTTCTACTGAATAATTGCTAGTAAAAAGGAGGTTTGGACATAAGAGGGAATAATTGTTGAAGATATGCTATTGAAATGGACTTCTGAACAATAAGGCTACAGATGGAGATTTCTCTGAAGTTAATATCTATAGGCTTAGAAGAGTTTTATACCAAGTTACAGAAAAATTCAGCAATGTGATCACATTGTCTTTGCAAAGGTATGCAAAATGGGAGAAACTCCAGGAAAAAAAGAGAATTTATCCCAGTTTTCAAAACGGTAGATTTAGAAATTTCAGTAAGATTGACATTTCTTTACAACATTATAGTATGGATTACTGAAGAGACTAGAAACAAAAGTACTGTGTTTAGTAGCCTCCAGCGTATGTCCACTAGGAACAAAAATGCTTTTTTTTCCCCCTGATTTTGCTCTTACACTGATATATAAGAGAAGTACCATGATTACATTGAATCTTCAGCAAGTCATATATAAAACTTTGTTGAGGACAAGTTATAAAGTGGAAGCTGATAATACAAATAGGAGAATGTTTGAACCACTGCATTGAAAGAGGATTATTGACTATAAACTCAGAAGGAGCTCTTGCTCCAGTGCTCTAGGCTAGGTTTTTTTTGTTTTTGTTTGTTTGTTTGTTTTTTTGAGACGGGGGCTTCACTGTATCGCCCAGGCTGGAGTGGAGTAGCATAATCTCAGCTACTGTAGCCTCGACCTCCTGGGCTCAGGTGATCTTTCAACCTCAGCCTCCCGAGTAGCTGGGACTACAGATGTGTGCCACCACACCTGGCTAATTTTTCTATTTTTGTAGCAATGGTTTCGCCATGTTGTCTAAGCTTGCCTTGGACTCCTGGACTCAAGTGATCCACCTGCCTCAGCCTCCCAAAATGCTAGGATTACAGGTGTGACCCGTTGCACTCAGTCTGGGCTGGCTCTTTTTAATCAGTAATTTTAATGAGCTTGTAAAAGGCAAATGTCATAGAATTGACAATTGTAGGTAAAGTAGGATTAATTGAGATTTATTGTCCAACCAACCAGGCAGCTAGTAATCATCCTATTCTAATTTTCTTCTTCTTTGTAAGGGAAACGCTGACAAGTAAGCATTCAGAGGAAAGCAATTAGATCTGAAAATCATGTCCTGAGACAAATGGTTAAAGGAATTAAGAATATTTAGGGCCAGGCACGGTGGCTCACACCTGTAATCCCAGCACTTTGGGAGGCCGAGGTGGGCGGATCACAATGTCAGGAGATTGAGACCATCCTGGCTAACACGGTGAAACCCCGTCTCTACTAAAAAATACAAAAAACTAGCCGGCGAGGTGTTGGGCGCCTATAGTCCCAGCTACTCGGGAGGCTGAGGCGGGAGAATGGCATGAACCCAGGAGGTGGAGCTTGCAGTGAGCTGAGATCACACCACTGCACTCCAGCCTGGGCAACAGGGCGAGACTCCGTCTCAAAAAAAAAGGAATATTTAACCTGAAGAAGAGAAGCTTGAGGGGAAAAATGTTAGAAGTTCTCAAATATTTGAGTTTTAGGAGTCTCCAAATAGTTGAGTGATCTTCCAAAATGCAAATTTAGGACTCCTATTTATAAATTATATTGAAATGATGTTTAATGTTAAATAGAGAAAGATGACCATTTGTCAGGGATGTTATAAATGATGTATATAGGTAAGAGATTGTTGCAAGGGTGATTGGAGTAGAATACCTCTAAGGAAAGTTCCTCTGACTTTGATATGAACACATGAATGACAGAAACTGTCCAGAAAGCGAGAAAAAAGGTTTTTTTTAAACTATTTAAAGACGAGTTTAGTATGAATGTTACCAAAAGAGGAAAAGAGAACTGTTTTCGGGTTAAATATCCTCAAAGGTTACCAATAAGCCACAGGTAAAAATTAAATAGTATCATTTTCCCACAGACTGAGAAATCAGAAAAGTTCTCTCACAAATTACTTGTTGCTTCTGATGCTGTTGGATTGTCCTTAGAAATACTCTCGTTACAGGCCGGGCGTGGTGGCTCAAGCCTGTAATCCCAGCACTTTGGGAGGCCAAGACGGGCGGATCACGAGGTCAGGAGATCCAGACCATCCTGGCTAACACGGTGAAACCCCGTCTCTACTAAAAATACAAAAAACTAGCTGGGCGAGGTGGCAGGCGCCTGTAATCCCAGCTACTTGGGAGGCTGAGGCATGAGAATTGCTTGAGTCTGGGCGGTGGAGGTTGCAGTAAGCCAAGATCGCTCCACTGCACTCCAGCCTGGGCGACAGAGCAAGACTCTGTCTCAAAAAAAAAAAAAAAAAAGAATAACTCTAGTTACGTTTCCGCTGCTATGAAGGTGAGACTCATATAACTGAGACCAAGCAAGAGCATTTAACCATTTAAGAGTAAATCCAGTGTCATTAATACAATTTCCATAGAACTTTAATTGAATAAACACTTGCAGCTCTAAAACTATAAATTCATCAACTGGTAAAATAACCATATGTCAAGCTTAACTTCCTGAATGGGGTTCTTAAAAAATACTATAACGTTGGGTCATCTTAAATGTTAAATGTTTTTTGTCCTTGTCTTTAGTGGTTACCCAGGCTGTCCTTACCCACCTGGTGGTCCATATCCTGCCACAACAAGTTCTCAGTACCCTTCCCAGCCTCCTGTGACCACTGTTGGTAAGTCCCCTTGAAAACTTGTGTTCCTCCATATAAGCAAAGTCACTCCAGGAAAAAAAGAGAATTTATCCCAGTTTTCAAAACGGTAGATTTAGAAATTTCAGTAAGATTGACATTTCTTTACAACATTATAGTATGGATAAAAAACATTGAAGGAAGGAACTGCTAAAGTGATGCCCCAAGTACGTTAGAGGGGATAAGGTCTAGTGGATAAATCATGTTTTAGAATAGAAGCAAAGATAACCAACTTATGGTAAACAGGAGAAGGCAGATATGTGGTGCAAGGGGGAGATAGGCATATATGAAGTTGGACTCTAAAGAATTATCTTACTAGCCTTTAGTTTTCTCAGTTGAAGAAAATTATATATCAGGTAAATGTAAATAAGCAAACACAAAAAGCAAAACAACTGATCTTCAATAATATTGCCTTATTTCACCTGCTCATATTAACCCATTTATACTTTCTTCTTAATGATGGTGACGTTTGCACATATAACAAGCTAGGAAATGTATGTATCTGCCAATAGTTCTACCATCATTTTGGCTCACAAATAAAACTATGTGAATCAACAGAAAGGTTTGATGAGTTAATCAGATTTATGTTCATGCCCTGGTAGAAGGTTCATTTACATGATAAGTCATTTACTTCAAGTTTAAGATTATAGTACACTATTATAAGTTTCCTCTAAGAAGAAAGAGTAGTCCAAAATTTCACAAGTAAAATGGGTTTTCACAACAGGGAGTTA